GCCAGTAGTCCTCCCCCTTCTCTGTCAAAATCCTGTCCTATGTGTCTCCCCTAGAACGTTCCCTCTAATAACTTTAGTGCATATCCTTCCCTTGAATTTCACTTAGTGCATTAGAAGGGGCTTATTTTGAGTTTATTGTCCTTTCCTTGTGTTCCTTCTCATAAAATGGTAGAGTCTTCACTCAAAGTTCTGTTTCCTTTTTTTTTTTTTCTATTTTCTTTTATTAAACATACTTTTTACCCTGGATTTAATTTTGTCATTAATTTTATGTCAGCAACACATACACTGTTCCTCAGAGGATAATTATGTGGTGGCATTCTGAAGACTGTTCTGTCCCCTTCCTGGGACTTCAGTGTTGCCGTATGTTGCTGTTACTTACAAATGCAGTGTTTGAATTTCAGACAGTAGAAAATGTGTGTGTGTGTGTGTGTGTGTGTTTCTGGGTAAATTCTGACTTCAACAGATGTAAGTTTCTCCATGTTAGTTTCTCTGCACACAAAAATTCAGTAGCCCTTGTTTTGTTTGAGCATTTGGTAAGTCTGAAGTCCTGCAAAATTTTTTCACTGCATTTAGGTAGGAAGATAAGTAAGATTTGTTCTTGGCTTTCTGTGTTTGTGAAAAGTTTCTGTCTCTGGTATGAAGGGTGCAGGTTCTGTTTTCGTATTATGTGGCTGATTCGTGGAGGGGACAAAGGATGCGTTTTTAAGGTGGTACTGTGTAAGGAGATGTCTGGGTGCGTGTGGCCCCCTCATCACTGATACAAAACAGATAACACAAAATGGAACACAGACAGGTTGAATGACTGACTGATCACTGACATGCAATTATGGAGGGCAGGGCCCAGCACCTGGAGTTCCTTTTGAGAGAAGCTTTGAAAATTTGTGTGACGATTTGATGGAAATAAAGTGGTGGCTTGATTGGAAGGGTGTGGGCTGTCCTTCCATCTCTCCGTCTCCCTTCTATATTGATTAGTGTCCTGGGACTTGGAATGACTGACTTACATAGCTGAAACACGAACCCTTTTTTCTGTTGAGTTGGACCTACAAACTTCCATATTTTTCTTTGGGATCCATCTTGCTGTTGTGGGAATGTGTTGATAGTATCGCTGAATGTCACAATATTGATCACCGTGACTACCTGTCTCAGAAACTGTGACTTGAAGTGTTATAGGCTCTGTGAACTCTTCTGCCTGAACAAGCCCTGATAAAACCTAGTGATGAGAATGTCGGGAATCTGAGGCTTGGAATTACATGCTGGGCTTACAGAGCAGTTCTTGACGGATAGATTGATTGGAGGGGGTGGTCTTAGCCATTCTGGACACCAGACTTATCGGCCTATTGTTATAGAAGATATATTAAGGAAAGAAAGATGATCACTTACTGACTTTTCTTCTTCCCGTCTGCCTTTGTTCTTTGCCGCTTTTCCTTCCTCATCTCCTCTCCCTGCCCCCTTTTCTTTTTAACTTTCATTAACTTATTAGTCAGTGACAGATGGCCAGTTTGTGATTCTTAGCCTTTTCTCAAACCTTCAGGTTAATGTTCCAAGATAATTAGCTACATTCCAAGGTCTCCTTCATATGTGAATAACATTGAAAGTACCAAATTGTTTATTTTATATAACCTTCACTAATGACCAGCAAAAGTCATTGCCAAATCAGAAGTCATGATTTCTTTGTTTAAAACATGTAATAATAAAAGTATAAGCTCCTTCCTGTTGAAATGGGAAGATGCTTAAGAACTTTGCGTGATAGAGCACATAGCTAAAATTTATGAAATTCGATAGCAGCATTCTCTCACTGCCACCCAGAACTGGTTCTCCTTCAGGTCAAGGTCCTGCTGGAGTTAAAGTGACTGGTGTGTTTGCCAGCGCTGCAGGACTAAGCTCTAGAACAAGACTGGATTGTGGAACTTACAAAACCCAACTACAGCGCACGGCAGCTCTCCCTTCATTAGCTAGGCCTGAAAAGAGTACACAGGGTCTGCCCGCCTGAGTGCCTCCACTGCTAGAGCTCACCAAACTTCAGATCGTTGGTTTTCAAAATGCAGTGACAGATATTTAAGTGACAGAAGACATCAGTGCTTCCTTCAGAACTTGAGATTTTAAAAAATGTCATAGGCATGCACAACTACACACTTGGTATGCTTCTAATGTGAATACAGCAAGGAGTTCAGGAGCAATGCATTTTTCTGCATGGCACTCTGAAATATACCAGAATCTTCTTTCAAAGAAAATTTTACCCAGCTCATATGATCTGACCTTTTTCCAATCTGCAAGGCTTTCTTCTCTTCCTGTTTTTTTTTTTTTTTTTCTTCCTTCTCTCAAAGACTAATCTAAGTTTCCAAGTATTTTGATCCCTGTGCCTCCCCACTGGTTCTACAGGCTTTGTTTCAGGCCCTGGGGGAGGAACAGTTGTGAATGCACTGTGACTCACTGCCTCCCACTTTCCTGATTCTGGTTCTGATTGGTCGTCACCTTGTTCTAGCCATATGGCTGCAGAGTACTCTAGCCTGCATTCCTTTCTCGTTCTTTCCCCTACTGTTCCCTTCTGTTGTACACAGCACTGGGAGTGGGTTCCGGGCTTTGTCTCTGGCTTCTGGTTTACCCCAGTTAGGCAGTAAGTAGGAGAGTGCACTGTATTTCCCAAGGGTGGCTGTAGAGGGAAAAAAACACCCTTTCCTTTTGTGCCTGGTATAGTAATCGTTTCCTATGCTGTTTTTGTTCAGAGTTTATATTTTGGCAGGTATCACATTTGTGTTATATTATTTCCTCATGGTTTCCCTCCTCCCCAGATTTAAGCTGGGTTTGTTGTTGTTGTTGTTGTTGTTTGTTTGTTTTGTTTTTTTTGTAGATGTTCTTGGAGTCTCTGTCTGGGGCTACTGATGCTACACCTTAGCTAGTTTGTTACTGTGTTTGTTTAATGCTGGTTATATGTTAGGGAGCGGGACTGAAAGCAACTCTGAATAATTTAACTGGTAAGTGTCTTAATGTTCTGGCAGTCACCACAAATCTACCTGTGATACTCAAATTATCTGTACTGCCACCCCCACCACTTCCCCTTCTAAACTGCATCCACTTAATTACTCTGTCTTTTATACTGGAGAAATAGGATTTTGAAGACTTGAAAGTTAATTTTTTATAAGAATTTGATATTTTTATTAATTTGCATTTTTATTATTCTGCAGATGGTTTCTGCAAAGACTTTGGACTCTGCATCCTTTTTTTTCCTTTATAATATTTAACTACTCAAAGAGGCAGTGCGAGCAGAATATAAAGTTTAGCAGACTTCCCCCCCCACCAGAAGTAGCCTTTATATGATATTTTCATTGTCTAAAAAAAGTTAGTGATAAAAATATAAAAAAAATCTCTCAGAGACGTATTTTGTATTGGGGTGCCTGGGTGTCTCAGTCGGTTGAGCATCCAGCTTCAGCTCGGGTGATGATCTCCCAGCTTGTGAGTCAGAGCCCCACATCAGGCTTTCTGTCTTCCTCTCTTTCTGCCCCTCCCCTGCTGGTTCATATTCTCTCTCTCTCTCTCTCTCTCTCTCTCTCTCAGAAATAAATAAACCTTAAAAAAGGATATATTTTGTATTGACCTAAAGTTTTAAAAAATCCATTTTGTAAATATTTTAATGTTCAAATATGTTAAGCAAGTAACCTTATAAGTTTGAATTCTTGGGAGAATATGTGCAATGTAATTGGTTAGAATCATAAGCGGGAATTTGAAACTCAGTCTGGCCATATGGTTTACTTAATCCTTTATTTAAAGATCTTCACTTATTACTTCTTTTCTCCATTCATAATCTGTGTTAGAAAATGGCAGTCTGTTCGATCAGAAATAACAAACCTCTCAGCTGGTGAACTCACTTGAAAGTGTGTGAGGAGTGCTGCTTATACCTGCTTCCCGCCATTAGGGCAAGAGAAGCAATCCAAGGGTGGCCCCAGGTGGTTGGTTTTTTTTTTGCTTGTTTGGTTTGGGTTTGGGTTTCGTTTGGTTTTATATTACATGTTCTTAGAGTCATACACAGGTCTCTGGTCCTGTCACTTTAAATGTCCTGTGAAGAGACGTTTACTTAGCCGCATAATTTCTAGCCCAGAGTATAGTTGTGAACAAAATGTCCCTGCCTTCATGGAGCTTACATTCTGTTGAAATATAGTATAGTAATGAAAGTATCCAAATATGCATTTTTCTTGGGTTTGAACAGAGTCTAGAAAATTCAAGAAACCTTACGTTTAAGTTTTTCATACCATGTAACTAAATTGCTACTCTGCCTAAACAAACCTGTGTTTCCATAGATCCTATCCCAGCAAAGAGGTCCTGCCCATGAGTTACGCATTTAAGTAATTTAGAATGACTATTGTTTGTATTGCGTATTTCTGGGATCAAGGTTTCTCTGACTAAAAGTCTGCTTAATGTTTGAAACTGACATAGAAACATGATGTTTGTTGGAGTAACAGAAATTAGCATGGCCGCTGTCTGTGTTATCAGATAAAAAGTAAAATGACTGGCAGTGTACCAGTCACAGTTGTGAGCACTTCACACCCAGCAGCTTGTTTGGTACTCATAAGAACCCTGAGGATATTGTTAATCACCTCATCGCACAGAACAGGAAATTGAGGCATGGATAGGTTAAGTAGCTTGATGAACATAGACCTGGTAAGTAGCAAAACTGAAATCTTTGTCTCCAGAGCCCTGTCTTCAGTGCTATGCTATATTGCCCTTCCAGCCTAGCATGCCAAGCTAATCATAGTCAAGGAGCCTGAGGTCTGCTATGTGATCTCCATTATGTTTCCTTCTCATCCATGTGGCTCAGTTTCCCTCAATACATAAAATGTTAAATGTTTCTCCTGGTATGGGTTTCTCCTTTGTGGAATCTGAATTTTAGATGTAACAAGTTCTAGAGTAAGCTGGTTACAGAAAGATGTCAGAGGCATATGGTTGCTTGCAGAGCTGATAGAACAATATTCTGATACATACTATTTCTTTTTGTCTTCATTGGGTAGAAAAGAGTAGTTGAACAGCTACGGAAGAACCTGATAGTAAAGCAAGAACAACCAGACAAGTTCCAGATACAGCCATTGCCACAGTCGGAAAACAAACTACAAACAGCACAGCAGCAACCACTACAGCAGCTACAGCAGCAGCAGCAGTACCACCACCACCACGCCCAGTCCGCTGCGCCCTCTCCCAACCTGACCGCTTCACAGGTAAAAGTGTGGATGGAGCCCCACAGGCGCCCTCGTGTAGGCCGAGTCGCTGTCGGGCGTGTAGAACTGGGGCCTGCTGAAGACAAAACTAAGCTCAACTAGACAAAACTTGCTTTGGTTACTTTTTCTATACTATAAACCGGGGCAAAAATCACTTGAAATTCATTGACAGAAGGAAATGGCATGACTGAGGAGCAAGAGTTACCTGATCTCCCACCTGCCTATGGAAGAGGGGAAGGGTAGTCAGTGACAGAGCAAAATCACTTCTCTGTATTAGAGCAGAACGAAGGTCTTATTTTGAATTTCTGGAAGTATTTATTTGCACTTGTTCTAAAAGTCTGTGTGACTCTGCCTCTTCTAGGATTGTTTTTCTGGAATTCTTGGCAGTTAGATGTGGGAATTCCAGGAGCAGTAGCTTTGGAACCAGGTAGAAAGACTTTCAGAAGAAGGGTGATATATTTCCATTATTCAGGGAAACAGAATACTCCCTTCTGAGTCCATATTCATGAGCATATGAATCTGAACGAAATCTGAAATGGAAGCTATGGGTCGAAACTAGAACTGAGAATTGGAGGCTTACTAACATTCTAACTTGGTACAGCCCTGCAGATGTTTTTACTGAAAAGGGCACTTAAACTAGCATATGAGGATAGAAAGGCAATCAGGATACACAAAAAGGACCTTTTTGGGAATAATGTTGGGTTAAGAAAACCACTCATGTTTAATCTGCACACACCGACACATAATATGGGCACACCTTTTCAAATGGGATGGTCGAGCGGTGGCTCCAGATTCTTCAGGGACGTGACCCCTTTAAGACTTTGTTGAAAGCTGTGGGTCCTCTCTCCAGAATAATACACATTCACACCTAATACACTCATTTTTGCACATGATTTCAAGGACACTGGGAGCTTCTGAAACCTAAGCATGATGAGCACTTCTCACCTACCAGTACCAAGTCTTCACTGTATCTTTATATGTAGAGAAAAAGATTATAGTCTACTTGGTGATTCACTGTGTATGGACATTGGGCTGGTTCATCTATAACGTTTTGCAAGTGAAGAATGCATTACTTCTAAAAATACTAAAGATTACTAAAGAGAAGTAACATTTAGTGGAGGTGGCTGTTTACCGCCACTCTCCTGAGTGCTTTACATAGACAACATACACAGTCCTTATCTGAACCCTAAAAAGCCTGGTATTATTATTATTAATATTATTATTATTATTGTTCCAATTTTTAGAAAAGAAAACCAAGGCATAAAGAAATTAAATAGTTATCTAAAATCATAGAGGTAGTATGTGTGGTAGAGCCAAGATTTGAACCTAGATGTTCTGGTGAAAAAATCTATCCATTCACTGCTCTTCTGTACTGCCCCATAATACCAAGAAAAGAAATGCCAATGTTCTAGCAAGTGCCAAAGTAGGAGAAAGAGTAATTCCTTTGTAAATCAGATAGCTAGAGTATAAATTTTACCACGATCTCTACTCCAAGGCTATTTGACAATTAGGCATTCAGACTGACTTTTAAAACCCCCTGACCAGGATTTATATTTCTTCCAAAGGATTGCTTATCAGATTACTTTTGTTGGAGTTGATTAATTTGTTCTCTTGGCAAAATATAGTATGATCAAAAGTGTTTACATGGAAGGAGTGTGGTAGAATTCATTATTTCCTAATATGTGGGAGTTTTCTCTCTTAACCCAGAAACTTTCTGTTCAAGTAACATTCCCTGTCCTACAAATCAGAGGAAATACTTATGGAATACTTATAATAGCTATTCCCTTCCCTAGTAGTCTGAGTTCTGTGCAGCTTTGGGATGGTGAGTGACGGTAAGGGGTCAGGGGCTACCCTCAAAACAGTGTTGTTTGGCGTCTCTCCACCTGGTAGCCCACCTGATATATTTAACTGATTTATAAGCTAAGCTGGTTTTATATTATTGTTTGTTAAATGCAGACATTTAATGTTAAAAACCAAAAGACTCAAGTTTTTGGTTTCTCTCTTTACAATAAACCATTAGTATTTATCGGATGCTCTCAGGATTCTAGATTCCGGTGGTTCTGGTCCCTGCCTAGAATCTAGTCTATTTCATTTTCATTCATTCTGTAAATATTTACTGGGTCTCTATTATATGTGAACACTGTGCTAGGCCATGTAGAAGGTAGATTCACAAATACGACAATCTTTGTCTTCAAGAATTTTGAAAATGTAGAGGAGAGGAAAATGTAAACCGCTGATGGAGAAGAATAAAATGAAAGTACCAGTGAAGATCTATGAAAAGACCATAAGGAGAGAGTCATTTTAACTAGATGGATCATAGATGCTTCATTTGAAGTGGCATTTGAGCACACTATGAATTCAATTTCTGTGAAGGAGCAGAGGGGAAGAGCATCACAGATGTAGAGAACAGTGTGGACAAAAGCATGGAGTCACAAAAGTAAACACATGCCTAAGAAATAGCAAGGAGGTTGGGGCGCCTGGGTGGCGTCCGACTTTCACTTAGGTCATGATCTCCCGGTTCGTGGGTTCGGGCCCTGCGTCAGACTCTGTGCTGACTGCCAGCTCAGAGCCTGGAGCCTGTTTCAGTCTGTGACTCCCTCTCTCTCTGACTCTCCCCTGCTCACGCTGTCTCTCTCTCTCTCTCTCTCTCTCTCTCTCTCTCTCCTAGAAATAAACAAAACAAAACAAAAATCTATTAAAAAAAAAAAAAAGAAATAGCAAGGAGGGTGACATGGCTGTAGCGTGGACTCTGGGAAATAATGGCGAGGGAGAGAAAGGGAGAAAGAGGCTAGCTTGTAGAACCCCCCAAAACATGACAGAACTTTTGGGGTTGGAGGCAGTCATAGGGAGTCATTAAATGTTCTTGAAGTCAAGGACATATGGGAGGTTGCATATGTCCTATACTAAATATCTAAGTTCAGAAAGGGATGGCTATTAAGTAGCAATTAATATAGGCAAAGAGGAGATGCTAGGAAGAGAAACATTTTTATTCTAAGTCTGTGGCTAGCATGGACCAAGGGGTATGGGGGCGGGACCAGTTCCCTTTACTCAGTTAACTCAAACTCATCTTTGTAGGTAGATTTTGAACTTTTTTCAATCTGTAAGGAAAAAAAGATTAAGAGTTGAATGCAAGTATACCTTTCAACTTCTATTCACACCCTGTCATTCACACCCCATACATTTAACAATGTAATACAAATGTAAAGAAGGATGCAGTTAATAAAACCAAATAGAAAATAAACCCTTATGGCCAAAAAGGAGGGTGGGGTGTTTCTATTTGTAGTCCTCTGAGTGTGCAACGGTTACCTTCCATTCAAAATTAAATGAAAAAAGTCTAAAATAGATACAGAAGTTCATTAGAGCCCATAGTAATAATCCTTCTAAGTTCTCATTTGTTCATTAGAGCCTGTTTTAAATCAATACTTCATGTTCTGCAGGTAAACAACAATAATAACTTAGTAAAAAAAAATAAAATAAAAAAGATTTTGCTTTTAGTGTTCCTTGGCCTGTATTTCTGCATTAACTTCTACTTCGTACAGTTTGGGTTTTGTCAAAATTAACCTCTTCATGAAACTGTGTGGAAACTGCTTCCTTATCTTGAAGTTGATCACAGTTGGGTGGCATCAACCAGCCAGATACTGATCACAGCTTCCAGAAAAATAATTTTACTTGTTGGACACCTTTCCTCTCTCTGTCTTCTCTTCTTCCTGCCAGAAGGGTCAGATGTTTACATTTAGATTTCAGAATTCTAGATTCTCTTTGTCATCTAAACTCTAACATTCCCAAGAGGTCAGTTTATATTTCCAAGTACTTAGAATACAGTAAGCAACGGACCAGGGGTAGAGATTTAAGCACTACCTGTGTCAATACCTGGTGTCAATAAGTAGTTAGTAAATTTATTTTAAGTTAAAATTTTTTTAAGTTTGTTTATTTTGAGAGAGAGAGAATGTGCGCTTGTGCGAGTAGGGAAGGGGCAGAGGGAGAAGGAGACAATCCCAAGCAAGCCTCTCACTGCCAGCATAGAGCCCAATGTGGTGCTGGAACTCAGGAACTGTGAGATCAAGACCTGAGCCGAAATCGAGAGTAAGACTTTTAACCGACAGAGCCACCCAGGCGCTCCATAAATATATTTTTCAGAGAGTTTTCATTGGTAAATATAGTACCAGGTCTTGGGCCTGTATATACAGAGAATTATATAGATGCTAGAATACATGTTCTGAAATTAGCTACAACTAAATGTAAAGTAGAATAAAATGCTAACTTAGGATGTGAACAAACTTCTTAGGTTTTGGGGTTTTTTAAATGTTGCAGTTAACGGTAAGTATTATAATTCAGGTGAGTTTGAGGTTTTACCCACTTTTTTAGCATAATCACTTTAGGATTATTCAAAATATTGATGATAATTTACCTGAACCAAGGATGCCTCAAACAAAATTACATGACCTCTTTCAAAGCAGCCACGATGTGCACAACCATTTTTAAAATCCATGTCAGTGAGTTCTGCTGATTAGAGCTTTCACTTCCATAACCTGTGCTGGAAACAAGATTGAATACCATCTGGTGTGAGTTGCTCACCACATGAAAAGTTCTTTGTATTTTAATGTCTTACACTGAAAGATAGGGCTAATATCACACCAGGTTAAAAACACTTGTTATAAATAGCTGGCAATGTAAAGTCAGTCCTTCTTGCTATACTCCCATAATATTTCTAATGATAAATAGTATTTTGCTTTTATTTGGTTTTTTATCATGGATAGATAGTAGATGACCTGCTACTTCCCAGAATAAATATCAGTGTTCCCCTCTTACTCCCATTTCACTTTTGAGGAGGCAGTGGCAAGGGCAGTGAGACATGCCTGTTTTGTTGACTAGAGAAGAGGAAACAAAGATTTGGGTGATTTTAATTACAAGCATTAATAAGCATTGCTGATAGGCTATGATGGGATAGATGAGGCCAGATCATTAATTGTTTTTAATTGAAAGAAAATAAAGAGGTTAAAAGATGACATGACATATGTGTATGTTTAAGGCAGAACATAGAAATGAAGAACTACGTAGAAAACAACAACAACACCACCACACAGGTACTGACACAGTCGCTGAAATAGAAATGCACAAGGGGATTTGTCCAGATCTATTTCGGAGACAGTGGGGTCCTTTTCACTGCAGTGCTTTTCAGAGCAATGCTGTCCAATAGAACCTTCTGCCATGTTGGAAATCTTCACTGTCCAGTTTGGGAGCCACTCGCCACAAGTGGCTCTTGAACACTTGAAATGTAGACAGTGTGACTAAGGAACTGATGTCTTCATTTTATTTTGTTCCGATTTGAATTTAAATAGCCGTGTGTGGCTGGTAGCTACCAAGCTGGACAGCGCAAGTGTGGAATAAGCAGAAAAAGGTGGAGTCGTGTCAAAGTCAGAACGAGCACGTGGGGCCAGATAAGCCCTGAAACGTTTGGCTCTGGAGTGAGTGGTGGCACTAGAGAGGAATGTGTGCCATGTAAGAAGGTTGTTTGCATTTTCTTCTTTTGTAACTGGCCCCTTCAGTTACTCCAGTTGGAAGTCTGGAAACTCCAGCCATAGAGCAGCGGTGGCACTTTGTGGAGCATCAGTCAGTCCTGCCGCCCCTGTGCAGCCTCTGATCTATACGGCCTTTTGAAACGCTGGTATTTGTTTCCACCTTGTCATGTTTCGCTGGATCTTTGATCACTTCTGCAGCAGCCCTCCAGAGAAGAAATGGTAGTTAGGGACTCACGTTCCTTTGGTGTCGAGAGCTGGTATTTACAAAACTAGTCAGTTAATAGGTTTTACTATCTAGAGTTTTGGATTTACTGCCTCTGAGGCAACTATTGTGTACATCCTCACGCGAGTTTCCCCGCCTCCTCTCTAGGGTGACACTCAAAAGGATGAAAAGACACTGTCCTTTCATCCCAGCTTTTGTGTCACAGGAGGCAGATACCAGAATTATATGAGAGCTTTCTTCATATTGATGAGGTTGTAGCAATTAAAGATACAGATGGTGTGTACCTCATTGATTTGCAACTTCTACAGAGTTTAAATTAATTGAGAGCACGAAAAGAATAAAAAACCAGAATAAATAGGTATGCTCATAATCTGTATCTGTAAACCCACCCCATTCATTGTTGAAAATCCTGTGCCCATATCTGTCTGTAGTTATTACTATGAACTTGAAGCTAAATTCGAAAACTCTGGCACAAACCAGAGATTATCTTTCCCTATAGTAAGAAGCGTGCTGTGCATACCCATAAGGAATGTTCTAGTGAGGAACTTGATTATGAGAATCATCGCATTGTTTTTTTCTGGGGATTAGCAGCATATTGTTTAGTGGGGTCACACTTCAGTGTCCTAATATCTGTTCTCCATGTCTCCTAGAAGACTGTAACTACAGCTTCTATGATTACCACAAAGACACTACCTCTCGTCTTGAAAGCAGCAACTGCGACCATGCCTGCCTCTGTTGTGGGCCAGAGACCTACCATTGCTATGGTGACCGCCATCAACAGTCAGAAGGCTGTGCTCAGCACTGATGTGCAGAACACACCAGTCAACCTCCAGACGTCTAGTAAGGTCACTGGGCCTGGGGCAGAGGCTGTCCAAATTGTGGCAAAAAACACAGTCACTCTGGTAAGCCAGCAGCTGCTACTCATGTGTGCCCACATGAGAGGGTTCAGGATATGCATTTGTAGAGTATATCCATTTTATGCTCCTGCTGGATTTTTTAGTCTCCATCATTCAGCCATACCAAGTTGTCCTTTGGGGCTGACAAGGGAATGTGGCATTCCTACTGGGTGCTCAAACAACTATAGAAGTGTCCTTGACACCAAGGACCAAAACCTGAGTTCAAAGTATGACTTGACTGGTGGGGGAATGCCTTTCATAGCAGCATGCACACTGCTTCATGTATCTCTCTCCATCCTATTCACAGACCTTCCTATGAAACTGGAGTGCATATACTCTCTGGTTCTGTATTACTGATTTGGGGGAAACTCCCTGCCGAATTCCTTTAGTTCACTATCCCTTGCAATTGGCTGCACCCAGGAAGTAGGCACTTTCCAAATATCCAGGAAATTCATAGTCTCCATGTCCAAGGTCCATCAAAAAAAAGATCCCTTGAAGAAGTACTTGAACAAAAATTGTTGATGAGATTCTAGGGTAAAGCCATATAGAAATTGATGCTTTCTGAAGCTTGGGGGAAATATAACCAAATTGTGGTTTGGAAAATCCTTCCTTAGCATGGCAGCTGAGAGCTCTTGGTGGCTTTTAAATGATGACCAGTGACGAGGGAAACTAGATAGCCGTGAAGTGATGCTTCAGCACTTACCAGGAATCTTGAGAGAAGCAACTAGCTATCTCAGCCAAATGTTGAGAGTTGGAGAATTCTCTTCAGGAACAAAGCTATTCACTGCTAGATAAAGCTCTTCTATTAGGAAAAAGCCCATTTGGCCAGGCAGCAAGTTTGATTTTACTTTGGATCCATTCTTGACTTTTAAAACATGTACACGCAAGAGTTCTTGAATGTGAACGGAAATGGTCTGAGATTGCCGAGCTGCTGTGTTTTACATGAGGCATGTAAAGAAATGAAATGGTTCATTTTGTAGGCTGAAGCATGCAGGTGGGAGAGTAAAAAAGTTTTTTTAAGGCAGAGTCAATTCAGATGGGTAATTCTACAATGAAAACTTTTAGAAAGTATTATCTGACCCAGAGAATAGTGATGCTAAAATTACTGTAAGAACACCTAAGCTTTGATGCTGAACAATTATTGTCCTCCGGTTTATTTTTTTTTTTTCCCATTTTTTAGCAGGTTCAGGCAACACCTCCTCAGCCCATCAAAGTACCACAGTTTATCCCCCCTCCTCGACTCACTCCACGTCCAAACTTCCTTCCACAGGTGAGTATATCAGTGACAGGCCCGATGATGCGTTAGGTGCAACAAAAGTCCTCGTGGGCCCTTTCTAAGCAGCCTGAAGTGTGCTTATCAGCTCAGCTGTGTTCAGATCTGACTTAGCTAAAGAGTCTACCTGCTGATTTCTATGCCGTGAAGAGACTTATTTTATCACCAGGGTTTCTAGGCAGTGACCAAAGGCGGTGGCAGGGGGATGAGAAGAAAAGGCAGATTTAAGATAGCACCATTTTAAACCTTAAAATGTTAACTTACTGGAAGTTTAACCAAACCTGCCTGCCAGTGGGGAAAGAATGTAATTACTACTTTTTTCCCCCCAATATGCCAAAGAGAGTAGGGAAAGAAACAGTAGCCAAACTAACCAGTAGAAACCATTTAGTTTTACTGTGGTAAGTGACGGCATTAAGCATCATACTTAAACACAAAGCCTTGCCTATAAAGGTTTTGACTAGGGGTCTATACAGGGACAGTATAGACAGGGGTCTACACAGGGAACTTTCTGCTTAGGTTCAAGCAGCTTTGCTTGCCCGTGTTCTCCTGGGCATATCCTTCTAATAATTGGACTGACCTCATCATTCTCATTGCATAATGTCAGGATTGCCCCAGTCTGGGTTTTGAGGGGACTTGGCTTGCTTAGTAGAAAGGCTAGGAGTTCCCATCTGAGGCCCTATGTTGCAGACAAAGAGAGAAGGGAAAAGAATTTTGTGGTCAGTGGCTGTAAGTGATTTCTGAATTGCCTGTGTGGTAGGGACGGGCATTGCTAATGTGAGAGAAGATGATTTCAGTCATCTGTCAGGTAAATCCTATGGCTTCTTGGCCTTTTGGCTAAGATCAAGTGTATCAGGTAAATCCTTACTTGATACCTTGGGTATCAGAAAAGGCACTATGCACTGTGGATATACCAGTTTTCAAGATAGACTGTTCTCTGCCCTCAGAGAGCTTCAGACATGTGTTCAGACAATGACAGTGTCCATTATGGGAAGTACAGGGTACTCTGACCACATGTGGGAGGGACACCCAACTCATTCTTAAGAGTTTTATAGAAAGTTTTAGAGGAGTTGACAGTCCAAAAAACACCTAGAATCCTAGTAAAGTTAGCCTGACAAAGTTTTGGGGGAGGAACAAAAATGTCCCAGGCAGAGGGTAGAGCATATATGCAAATCCAGGATGGAGAGACACATGTAAGCTTAAGGAACCAAAGGAGATTTGGTGTGGCTGTCATAGGGGGCCATGGGGCTGACTCAGGCTGGGGTAACAGGTGAAGCTGGAGTCCGTTGTGCCAGCTCCTGTGGCACCTTCTAGGCTATGTAGGAATTCAAGCAAAAGGCCCTGGGATAAACCCAGGAACAATGGGTATCCATGAAAGCATTTTTAAACAAATACTTGAAATGATCAGATCTTTGTTTAGAAAATTCCCTCTTGCCATTGTATGGAGAATAGATTGGAGATGATCAAGATTGTGGGCGGGAGGTATAGTTAGGACATCATCAGCAATAATAATAATAGCTAATGTTTAAAGACTTCTGCTGGGTGCCCCCTGCTGTGTTAGGCACTTTTTATGGGTTATCTATTTTCATCTTCACAATAGCCCTGTGAAAGTAGGTATTCCTTTCTTTTTTTAGATAAGGAACCTAGGGCTTAGTCCATGTTTTCCAAACAGTGGGTCATGACCCATTAGTATGCTGTGTGAAATCAGTATAATTGTAACCAGAGTTTTTAAATAAAATCAACACAACAGAATATGAAATATTAGAGTACATAGCACCTATGTAATGTTTCATGAAATTTTTATTTTATAGAGATATAAATATATGTCTATATGTGTGTGCTGGGTACAGTATGAATGTGTTCCCTACTGTGTCTGCAGTAGCCACCACAGGCTCATCTTTGTTTCTTTTTTTAAAATTTTATTTATTTTGAGAGAGAGAGAATACATACATGGGGTAGGGGCAAAGAGAGGGAGACAGAGAATCCCAAGCAGGCTCTACATTGCCAGTGCAGAGCCCAACACAGGGCTCAAACCCATGAACTGCGAAGTCATGGCTTGAGCGGACATCAAGAGTCAAAGTTCAGCCGACTGAGCCGCCAAGGCACCCCACACCACAGGGTCATCTTAAGTTCAGCTAAATATTCAGACTCACAAGACTGTCCTGGCCCACACTTGGTACCAACCTACTTGGAACAGTATAAGACAGAAGCCAGAGCTTTACCAGCAAGACAGCCCCAGACATTTTTCTTCAGCCCATATAGCAGTCTCTGTAGCTGTCTGGTGGTAGCTGTGGTGCAGGGACATGAGACCCCCATCAGGACAGTGGTGGAGCCCGCCTGGCACAACAGTCTGAGGAGGCCTCACAGGAGCCAGTGTATCTTGTAACAATTCTGTAGGCATGGCTTTCAAGGTGCCCTCAGTGGACATGCCCAGTTACAAGAGTCACCCCTCTTCATGAAGCCCAAAGCATGGTGTCCCATCAACTATTTATAATGCTCCCTGTTCAGATTCAGTTTAGCAGCGAGGGATCTTTTTTTTTTTTTTTTTTTTCACCATAAGCAATGTTGCCGGGTAACATAGTTGACATTCTTACCCTTAATCAGGTTTCCAGGGGAACAGAGCTAGAGAGTTAACTGAAGGTCAAAATTTCATGCATTAGGGGAAAGGATTTTGCCCATAGGGTCACTGTAAAGAAAATTTGAAAAATTCCGGCTTAAATCAGGTATGGTACGGAGGCGACCTGGCTAGTAAGTGGTAGGAACCAGGATTTGAACCCAGGCAAGGCTGACCTTATGTTTTTAATTGTTGCTGTTTCAGTAAGCAAAACATAAGGTAGAGTAGTGGCAGTAAAGATAGGAAGTAGACATAGTTGAGAAGGATTTAGGAAGTAGAGGTAGAGTAGGAAGCATCAAGAATAGTTCTGAAGTTATTTAGCAGGAAAGCCATTTATTAAGGTGATGGTAATAGGAGGAAGAGAGGGTTAGAGGAAGAAATTGGTGAATTTTAGACATGTTTTTAAGGATTTGATTTTTTTTTTCCTCTAGGAGAGAGAGAGACAGCGTGAGCAGGGGAGGGTCAGAGAGAGAGGGAGTCACAGACTGAAACAGGCTCCAGGCTCTGAGCTGGCAGTCAGCACAGAGCCCGACGCGGGTCTCGAACCCACGAACCGCGAGATCATGACCTAAGCGAAAGTCGGACGCTCAACCGACTACGCCACCCAGGCGCCCCATTAAGGATTTGATTTTTAAGTAATCTCTACACCCAAGATGGGGCTCAAACTTAGAACCCTGAGATCAAGAGTCTCATGCTCCACTGACTGAGCCAGCCAGGTTTCCTAGACATGTTGATTTTTAATTTCTGATGAGATTTCCAAGTAGAGATACATGATAGGAAGTTGAGTACATGATTCTGAAGTTCAGGAAATGTCTGGTCCTGAGATACAAGTGTGGATGGACGTCTTCAGTACACAGATGGTAATTGAAGACATGGGATGGGTAAAAACTCCCAGGAAGAGTGAGGAGATTGGGAAAAAAAGAGGTCCCAGAACAAAACTCTGAGAAATACCTAATGGTTAGGATTGGGCAGAGGAAGAGGAAGTCCACAAATGTGACTTAGAGGAGGAGTGGCCGAGAACAAGGAATTAGCAAGGAACTGGGCTGAATTAAAGTCATGGATATGAAGAAACTTAGAATGTGAATTAAGTTCATTGGCTGCATTATTACCATACTGGACACAGTTCTGGGTGAGACCAGTCTCTGAATTAGGCATTTGACCTCAGCTTGAGGCAGCAACATGGTATGGGAGGGGGAGCTAAGGTTTGGATTCAGAAGAACCATGGTGTAGGGAAGCATTTGGACACTGTTAAGAGCTGATGAGTCTTCTATAAGATTATATATCCTGATATGTATAGGATTAATAACACCAAAATGAATGTCAATAAATATTGGTACTGAATACCATTTCACATATATATTATAAAAGACCTGGCAATGTCTTAGACTTACAAGCCTTGAGAAATTTCTTGAAGTAATACAATAATTGTTCTTTCTTTCCCCATAGGTCCGACCCAAGCCTGTGGCCCAGAATAACATTCCTATTGCCCCAGCACCTCCTCCCATGCTTGCAGCTCCTCAGCTTATCCAGAGGCCTGTCATGCTGACCAAGTTCACCCCCACGACCCTCCCTACCTCCCAGAATTCCATCCATCCCGTCCGTGTCGTCAATGGGCAGACTGCAACCATAGCCAAAACGTTCCCTATGGCCCAGCTCACCAGCATTGTGATAGCTACTCCAGGGACCAGACTCGCTGGACCTCAGACTGTACAGCTTAGCAAGCCAAGCCTTGAAAAACAGGTACAGGAAGAGTGTGTGTCAGCTTTGGGCAGTGGCCTTGCCATTGAGGCTGGGCTGTCTCTAAATACATTCTCTCAAGAACTCTTTATCTCAGGACCATTGTCAGTAACCTGTTGCTTATCATGTGATAATTTATCCATAATGCAAATGGGCCAGTCTTAACGGAAGAAAGTTGGGGTTGCTTTTCCCACCATCCCCGTACACATGGATTCCCGTGTGAGTGAGCTCCCCCTGCTGGTTCCGAAGCAGAAATTCACAGATGGGTTCTGCTGGTCTCCGTCAGGGAAGCACAGAGATAAAATGCACAGAAAATGCCTTGTTAGTTTCGGCCCAATAAGAATCCAGATGAGGGTATGGTAAAAGTCAGAAGGAGTAAACAAAACAGGGAAAAGGATTTCATTTGAAATATTTCCCCTGGTTATTACAGATAATGAAGAGCCAAATGAAAAAATTAAAATTTCTAAAAAGCATTTTTTAACTCTAGAGAATACAGACATTTTAGCTCAAATATTGAAGCCTCTCACTTCTATTTCTAAATTCAGATTTTCTCTTAAAAATACAAGGCTAGAGAAGTACAAGTAACCTCCAAAAATACTTGAGTTCTGTGACAGAAGACTTCTAAAAACAAGGAAAAGGATTTATAGGCAGTCACCATATTCTATTTAAAGAAAGACCAGTGATGAGAAAGGAGAATTTTGCAAAGAAAAGCATCCTCTTTTAAGAAAGTTGCTTTAAAAAGTCATTGACCTGTTTCTAATTGCTTGGGCTTGAGTTCTCATTCATCTGAAAATAGTCCTCAGTGATCCTGAATCTTCTGCTTCTGGATGGCTGACCATGACTCAGAGAGGCTGGCCAGGTGGTAGAGGATGAGAGGCTCCCTGCTGCCTTGGCCTTCTTGAACAGAAGATCCTTATGCATAGAGCACCCGGCTTTGTATCCAGACAACTCATAAATGCAGCAGACCTTCCACTAAAAAGCTGGGTATTAAACATCTTGTGCTCAGAAAACACATCTGTTTTCCTGGAGAGCTTACTCAAACCCCAGAAAGTGCTTTCAGGAACATTTCATAAGTAGTTATGCCTGTTTTAGATAATAAGTTTTCAAACTTATCATCAGCAGGACTTCATTATTAAAATATGAAAGTAAAATACTGAACAGGGAAGTGTGGGTAGGGGCCTGTCTGGAGATCATTCCCCTCATGTCCTGGCTCTCAGGGAACGTGTGAGGGGCCTTAGAGTTCCAAAGAATGTGGCTTCAAAACACTCCTTTAGATTAGTAAATATTACTTTTCTTTGACCTCTTTTTTGATAAAGATACTTTTAGAAGACATTTTCAGTTTTGTTTTATTTTAACATTTCTTATTTTTTCTGATCACATCTCAGATAATATATATTAATTATGAAAGAAAATTCTAACATTATAGAAATTAATAATGTACAAAGTGCATCCACCCCATAATGTGTGGAAAGAGTAAATTTCCCCATAATTCTAACTACTGACTCTTGAACAGTATGAACAGTTTAGATTATGAAAGCAAAAAACAAACTATATTTTGTAACTTGCCTTTTTTCATGTTAAATCTTGAGTATCTTTTCATGTTCTGACCTTGTATGTTAATAGAGCTTTTAATTTTAATTTTAATACCGTAGAAAGGTTCTCAGGAATTCTTGAAAAGTTTTTAAAAAAATTCTTTCCTAGCAGTAAATTCCAAGGTCTCGCTCTTTGTTGATCTAACAGAGGAATCAGTCATTGCTATTTTAGTTTAGCAGGCCACCTGCCCTAAACAGCCTTGCAGGTTAGCAAGCTCAGTCAGCAGGGGTGCTCTTTAGACCAGACTGCATTCTCAGAATCCTCTTACTTCAGATCTTTCTGCTATCCTTCTTTTCTCTTCTGTATTTTATTTCCAGTGTCACATATATAGCCATTAGGGGATCTCATAGATGGGCTAAAGAGTGAAGCAATGTAAATATGTAGCTCTAGAAGTACTACTTGGAGTCTGCTCACAGAGTTATCAGAGCCTGCATCCAGCATGCTCTGTGTGACCAGCCTAGATGGGTTCCTTTCTGCTTTCTTGTGTTTCTTTTAGGGTGGTAACATTCATTTAATAAAAATACATTGATTACGCGCCAGCTGCTGTGCCGTAGGCGATGCCTAAGTACAATGGTGGATAAGTGAAAGCCTGTACTCTCACAGAGCTCAGTCTGTAGTGCATTTCGAACAGGTACAGAGGCAGTGCATCCAGGGGAGGAAGCATAGCAAGTGCTGTAGTTTCAAAGGCCTCCCACCTTGGCATAGAAAAGGAAGAAGGCAGTGTCAGTTACAACAACAGAGTCTCACTTCTCCTTCCCCGGTCAGGCATTGCCAACTTCCTTCTCCAGCCCAGATAAGAGCTCCCTGTCTTGCCCTCATTAGAAGCCACATTATATTGCGGCTCTGAGAAAATGAGTGCTAGAGTTTGAAGAGCTTTGAGTCTGGAAGCACATTCTAGGCAGAAAGGTAGATGGAGCCAGACAAACTTACAGCCCCCATACTGCTGCCTTTTATGTCCCTGTCGTTCTAAGCACTCTATGAAATGGGGCTAAACACCTGTTAATGATGGAATGAACTAAAGCATTTAAAGTCCGTTCGACCGTGCCTGATGCAGTTAGTTCTCAGGAATTATGTTCATTTCTTAATCCACCACACCCACCTCTGTAACAAAAACCTCTGTGTATGTCCCCAAGGATAAGCTACTGAAAAAAAGTCCTGGGTTCCCTATGTATCTTGGATAAGAACCTACACAAGATCCTCTAAACAGGATCTAAATAGTACTTCCAAGATGAAAATATTATCCAGTGTATGTGCCTCACCTCCCACTCTTCCCTCTTAGTAAATGTGAGCCGGTAACTCTTCACCTTCCATTTTAACAACGATGCTCTAGCAGCGAAGACAGGTCAAAGTGACCAGAGATGGATTTTGCTTTGCCTCCAGTCCCAATGTATTTAACCTCAATTGGTGAAACTACTGAGACATTTATTTATTTGCAGGTGACTAACTTTGATTATTCATGCAGCCAAGTCTCAGAAGGTGAATTTGGAGTTCAGGGTATAAATGGTTAACTTAATTGTAATCTTGTTCAGAGTGTTTGATTTCTACCTTTATAATACCAAATAGAACAGGATTTTGAAATTCAAATAGTCATAAATGTGAAGCAGTAAATACAAATGAGTAAACAGGCTGGAAGTAAACATATGGACTTTTATTTTTCAGTTTTCAGTGGGAGCATGAGTACAAGAGATATCCCACTTTTTTTCTTAGTTTCTCTTTGAAATAGTAAGGCAAGCATGATAAAATTTAAATTTGGCCTTGGTGTCCAGAAGACCATAGAACGTGGAAGAGACTGTAGTAAACAGGAAAGTAATACCATCTCAAAAAGCAACTACTTCTTGATAATAGCCAGTTTTTATCCTATGGAAATTTTTCCAAGAAAGGCCAGAAGTCCAGATATTGTGAGAAGTCACCTAGTTTTAAAAATACTGAGGGCCACCTGGGTGGCTTAGTCGGTTAAGCATCAGACTTCAGCTCGGGTCATGATCTCACAGTTTGTGAGTTGGAGCCCCGCATTGGCCTCTGTGCTGACAGCTCGGAGCCTGGAGCCTGTTTCAGATTCTGTGTCTCCCTCTCTTTCCGCCCCTCCCCCACTGTGCTCTGTCAAAAATAAATGTAAAAAAAAATATTAGAAAAATAAATAATAAAAATACTGATAATTGTTTAAACATTGTGTAAGCAAAAAATAACATCTTCAGAGCAACCTCGCCTCTGAATAATAGTTTGTAGTCTCTGATAGAGACTAGACTTTTAGCTTACTCCATTTCTTGTTGTTTTTTTTTTGTTTACCCAATTTTTTTTTAACTGAGGTGAAATTCACACCACATAAAATTAACCATGTTGACATGAACAATTCAGTGGCATTTAGTACATCCACAGCGTTGTGCAGCCACCACCTCTGTCTAGTTCCAAAACCGTTTTATTACCCTAAAATAAAACCCAGTATCTATTGAGTAGTTACTCTCCATTCATTCGTCTCTCTACCACTGGCAGCCACCAATCTGCCTTTTTGTCTCTATAGATTTACCTATTCTGGGTATTTCATTTGGATGGAATCATATAATATGTGACCTTTGGTGTCTGGCTTCTTTCAGTTAGCATAGTGTTTTCCAGATTCATCCACACTATAACATGTATCAGTACTTCATTTCTTTTTAATGGCTGAATAGTAGTCCATAGTATGTATATACCATAACTTGTTTATCCATTCATCCATTGATGGACATTTGGGTTATTTCTACCTTTTGGCTATTGGGAATGGCACTACTGTTAATATTCTTGTACAGACATTTGTTTGAATACCTCCTTTCCATTCTTTGGGGGTACATACATACCTAAGAGTAGAATTATTGGATCATGTGACAATTCTGTGTTTAACTTTTTGAGGAACTGCCAGACTGCTTCCACAGCAGCTGAATCATTTTCCATTCCCACCAGCAGTGTGTAAGCATGCTGTTTTTTCCATATCCTTGGGAATACTTACTATTTTCCCTCTGTAAAAAATATAGCCATCCTAGTGGGTATGAAGTGGTATTGCATTGTGAGTTTGATTTGCATTTCATTAATGATTCATGTTGTTGGACATCTTTCATGTGCTTTTTGGCCATTTGTATATTTTCTTTAGAGAAATATCCAAGTTCTTTGCCAGTTTCTATATTGGGTTGTTTGTCTTTTTGTTGTTGAGTTGTAAAAGTTCTTTGAATAATCTGGATACTAGATTCTTATCAGGTACATGATTTGCAGGTATTTTCTTCCATTCTGTAGGTTGCTTTTCACTTTTTATTTTCTGGAAGCCTGTGTTTTCTTCATTTATGGATAATGTACTTTGATACACAAAACATTTTAATTTTGATGAAGTCCAGTTTATCTGTTTTTTCCTTTTGTTGCTTGTGTTTTTGGTGTCCTATCTAGGA